GGGTCATAAAGTTACTTTTCTGTTGCTGTCATAATGGCAGATGGTTGCTAAATGAGGCAATTATTAAATGAGAAGTAGCTGTAAAAAGGCAGGATATGTTGGTTGTGGATGTGATTAGTTGCATGTGAGATAGTGCCATTTTGTTATCTCAGATAATCTACAACTAACATTAGATTGGTGTTGTAGTACAATGTGGAATATAGATAATGAAAGTTATGAAAGAACAAGATAACTGCTTGCCAGGATAAATGGGGTAAGTAATTGCAAGTATATAAATAATTATGGCAAAAAATTAGAGCAAGTAGATGAATTCATCATTTTTTACAAGGGTAGAAAGGCAGAAGAGGTATAGCGAATAGCACTAGAATTAGTTATCTTTCCTTTCCTTTTACTTATCTTAGGCCTTTCGTTGGCATACTATTTCTTATTCCTTTTATTCTGCATAAAGTTACTTATTTTAAAAGTGAATAAATGATGGATATATTTATGTATTGGAGACGGAAGTAAGATTTCATTATATAACTAGTCCTTGCTTAACAACCCTAATTACAACCAGAATTTATATCACTAAGTAAAGATCATTGGGCAAAACACAAGATCACATCACTTAGTGAAGCAGTTCCAATAATTCTGGTTGTTAGGTGAGGACATCATGCTTCTGTCCTGCTGCCCCTACTTCAGCTCCCCCCACGCATCTATCTCGGCTTTTCTAGCTGTCCTGCATTCCACAGCCACCCCCACCACCACTATCCTCAGCTGACTCCCTTTCCGCTGCTGATGAAGTGAGCCTGGTAGTAGCCTTGGCTGGGAATGCCTCATCAGAAGCAGGAGGATGAAGATAGTAAAGCTCAGCTAGGGATGGTGGGAGTAGGGAGCAGCAGGGAAGGGTAGAGTGGCCAAAAGGACAGAGATAATGAGTGGATAGGTGGAGTTGAAAAATGCTGTGTTTGTAAATGTAGGCATTGTAACTTTGAATGGACATTGAACAAATGGTTGTAAAGCAAGGACTGTCTGTAATTCAACTCCTTTGTGTTAATTATGAAAATTTATATTAAGCAGAGAAAAGGTTAACTTATCAAGAGTGGTTAGAATAAAAGCATGGAGAATATAAGATGAAATCAGAAGTACAACTGGCTGCAAAGGGATTTAATTTTCAATAGTTTTCATATCTACAGTTACGAGAAAGACTTAAAGTAGATAATCATTTGGAATTGAGCAGCAGAAGACAGAATTTGAAGTTGAACTATGTTTAAATATATAATTGCTAAAATGTATACATTTTTATAGAAATATAGAAACTGAAGAACAAAAAGCATATATAAAATGGGCTAAGAACTTTGGACATAATGTATTGATGAAATAATAAGAAAATATGTTGTTAAAATGCAGTGTGAGTATATCTTTCCATAAAAATAGTCTAAAATGTATAAAAGTACGTCAAATATATGTTGAAAATGTGGACCACCAAAAGGACATTTTTAATCATGCCTGGTACACTTAGAAGAAAGATAAAGAATTTTAGGTTCAAATACACATAATAATATAGAGAATTTTAAAAAAATTAATATTTAACTGAAGCCAGAACTTTTTTGCAGGAATTAATTAATTAATTAGAAAAAAACCACAGAAGACAATTTTTATACATGATTACCGTTGTGAGACTATTATATGTGAAAAATGGAAACACTCTGAAATACAAGGGAGGAATAATTTGTGAGGATGATGAAACTAGCAGAAATGGCAAAATTAGCTTCTTTGCTTGGAGAAAGTTCAACTACTACATTTATTAGTGATTGGAAATTTCTTAGGTCTTTTGGCTGAAAAAAAAAAATTGTGAATTTGAATTTAGTACCGTATATTCCGGCATATAAGGCGACCCGGCATATAAGACGACCCCCGACTTCGGCGCCGAGTCGCATGCCTAGAAAGTCGTCTTATACACCGGAAACTACCGTTATTTCCGGCGTATAAGACGACTCGGCGTATAAGATGACCCCCGACATTGGCACTGATTTTAACGCTTGCAAAAGTCGTCTTATACGCTGGAAAGTACGGTAATTGGAAAGAAAGAAGGAAATTATGATGTAACTTTAGAGAGAGGGGGTAAAATATAAATGCATTTATAACTGCTGTTAAGAAGATCAGAAGCCATTTGTAACATTTCTCTCTTACACTTCTTATTTTTTCTCTCTATTCTCTTTTTTGAGTTTTTTTTAACATTGTAATTAAAATCTTCAATTTTTTTAAAAAATAAAACTTGTATTAATATTTACAAGGTAATATAATATAATAAGCAACTTTATTATAATAATAGTTTTATTATTTGCATTTGTTATATATCTTCCTGGAATTATGTAAATTCTCTATTTGTTTCCATATTTACTTAGTTGTAAATATGGTTTTAATTTCTCTAGTTTGCATCCTAGTGTGAATTGTCTCTGGCCTTTGATTGGTTTTGATTGTATGAACACTTTTATGCACATATGTTATTCAAATCTGTGACTTTTCTCCATGCAGAGTTGATAAATGACTCAACTTCTTCAGATCTTAAAGGCTTAAGCTATGCAATATGTTTTGCCTTTTACTAATATGTTTCCTAATAGTTGTAAATGGATGTACATTTTTTAACAGTATGAGAAGAAAGCTATAATCGGACAAATATAGTGTCTCATAGTTGAGAAATTACACCATCTTTGCTGCCATTAAGCTTAATTCCCAATTGACAAGCTACCATTTTTGTTTAGGAAGTTAACATCCTATACTTTAAATAAAGAAACTTGTGGCATTATAAATGTACAGGAACACATAATTGTTTATGTATTGCTGATCTGCTGAAAGACAAAAGTTATTAACTAAAAGCAATAGAATATATTCAAATAGTATTTCTTCATTCAGGAAAGATAACCTTTATCGTCATTTTTTACTGTAGGTACATTGGCACGCATTAAAAATGAAATTTAGTTGCCTGCTCTCAAAGTGTACATATACATAACAAATTTAAACATGCTATATACAACATATGTATAAACCTACACCTTTACGTATAAATAACATATAAATATTAATCACTATCCATCTTAAATACATAACGGAAAGAGGAAGCTTTAGAGTTAACAAGCTTAATACTGTATGGAACAAAACTATAACTGAATCTGGATGTTCTACTTCGGATACCACGAAAGACTATCTACTACTGAAATTTCATTGCAAATAGATAAAATATGCTTGGTAAAATATGGTGTTTTGTCTGTTTCTCATTAACTTGAGATTTCAGAAGTGATGGCACAGTATTGCCATGGTCTTACTGGATTAAATGAAACATCTGTTTATAATAGTTAGAATTGATACCACTTGCAAGAAGTTACAATGCCAGGCTGTTTCAATTGTTACAGAACATATTAGACTTTTATGGAACAAGCCCACCTCAGAGGACTGTAAGCTTAGTTTCAAAATCTGCACTTGAAAGACTTGAATGATTGGCTCTTGGATGTCTCTTGAGATTTTGTTAGTTAGAGAGAAGGGCTTCCAACACTTGATTTATTTTAATTAACAATATTAAGTACAGATAATGATCTTTCAGTACAATGGCAAATTACCCACATATAGATAAAGGTAATTAAGTGAACAATGCCAGACCCAAAAGAGCCATATGTTGCTCAGCAAGGAGTTAATAAGACTAGTTTTATGCTCACCGAAGGATACTTGAGAAATTTGGTCTGAATTACAGAGAGAACAACTGTTGGGACTTTCTTGTCTCTTCCACTTTCTCTATTTCCCCTACTTTCTCAGTTTCTTTGATCCTCCAGCTCTCTTATCTTTATCATTTAGCTGTCCAGAGCACTCAGATAACAGGATGTGCCAGCTGCAACAGTAACTTCAAAAGGCAGCTTAGGAAAATGCTCATTCACTTACAAATGTCTTTGTGTATCTCTGAGAATTCCTATGAAGAAAGCAAATGCAGACTGCAGAAAGAATAGAAATAAGCGTTTAAATATATATATTCACATCTTCATGAATATTTTCAGAATTTATAGGTTTACTATAAAGATATAGAAATATACCTGACTATGCTTTTTCTTCATTATTTGATTTCTTCAGTTATCTTTAATCGATAGCCATCTGTAATTTAGTATTGTTTTTAATTTTAGGTAATTTTAAAGACTGGGTGCCTATGGTTATATGCTTTTACCCTTGTTCCGTTCACACTTTATTTAAAAATTTCTCTAATGTCTGAATCATTTTATGAAAATGTTGGATTGAGTTTGAGCTTTCTAGTCGGTGATAATGCATTAAATCTTCCCTAGTATTGGCAGTGAGGAAAGGGGGATCTTTTGTTTAGCCAGACAAATTCAAAAACTGTCAACTCCAGATGTTTTGAGGCCAGACAGGGCTTACCAAAGAATGGACAATGCCCTTGGGACTCTTGTGTATATTGAGTTCATTATGGTTTTTTTCCCCTTCTTCAGCAGCTGCAAGTAAAATGACAAAGAAACAATGGAATATATTATAAATATATAGGGTTGCTAGTGAAATATGTTTTTAAGCTATTTTCATATGTGCTGTGCTTTACATTCACTGTTCTAATCTTAGGTCCAGCTGTTCTGAAGATCTGTTTTCTTGAACGTGAACGACTGATCTTTTCAGAATAGATATTAAAAATCTGAAGAAAATTGAATAGAAAGAAATTAAAATATTCTCTTGTTTTTTACCTTCTGTATGTTCCCAAAATCTGATTTTAAAGATTGACATTTACAGTAGTCCTCAACTTATAACCATCCATTGAGCCACCATTCAAACTTAACAGTGGTACTGAAAAAAGTGACTTATGACTGGTCCTCCACTTACGATAGCAGCATTCTCCTGATCACATGATCAAAGTTCAGATGTTTGGCAACCTGCATGTATTTATGACAGTTGCAGCATCCGATGATCAAGTGATCGCCATTTGCAACCTTCACTTGATCACAGGATGCTGCAACTGTCATAAAGATTCCGATAAACAAAGTCAGTAGAAAAAACTGGATTCGCTTAATGACTCCATGATTCACTTAACAACTACAGTGATTCACTTAACTATGATCTTAAAATTGAGTGCAACTCCCTTAACAACCACCTTATCTAGCCATGGAAATTCTGGTTCCAATTGTGTTCCTGTGTCAAGGATTACCTGTATATCTTTTAAATTATCATTGATATAATACCTTTTATAGTGTATATTACTAATTGGCTGCACATTTTCAATTTTAAGTTTGTTGTCTTATTCTTGTCTTTATATATTGCACAGAAATTCCAGGAAGTGGTGCTGAAATCTTGCTTGCTATTCATGGAGGATATTTGTGTATTGTGAATAAGAACATGCATGCAATGTATTTTCTCGTATTTAGCTCTTTCTCTTATCAGCCAAAATCATAAACAAGTTTAATGTAGTAGAGTAATATAGGGAGGCCTAGGTTCAAATCCATCCTCACCATGATCACTCACTGACTTTGGACCAATCAAGACAATCTAATTCACAGGGTTGAGCTGGTGAAAAATTAGAGAAATGTTATGTATACTGATTAAAACTCCTGGAAGAAAAGCAGAATATAATTCTAATCAGTATTTATTGACTGGCCTAGCAGCTCCACTTTGAATGGTACAATTACAATGTGATAATAATATCAGTTTTATTTAGCCATTTGTATCAATTAGGTCCTAAAGCAGGGGTGTCAAACTGCCGATCCGTGGGCCAGATGCATCATAGCAAAACCGTTCTCATCCCATTGCCAGCAATGGCAAAAAAGTCACTATACCTTGCGGAACATCACGTGATGCTGCAAGTTTGAGACCCTTGTCCTAAAGGATATCAGTCCTGATTCCTTTTTGGAAGGACAGATACTGAAGCTGAAGCTCAAATAGTTGGGCCACCAAATGAGAAGAGAGGACTCATTGGAAAAGATCCAGATGTTGGGAAAGACTGAAGGCAAATGGAGAAGGGGATGGCAGAGGCTAAAGATGGTTTATATAGTGTCATTGACATAATGAATTGAATTTGGGCAAATTCCAGGAGATAGTGGAGAATAGGGGAGCCTGGCATGCCATGATCGATGGGATCGCGAAGGATCAAGCATGACTTAGCAACTGAATAATAACCAGTTAGGAGAATAGCAATTAATAGGTATAAATTATAATCTAATATATCTCAAAATCCTCTTCTTCACATATATGATAAATATAGTTCTTTAGCATGGGAATTATTTTGTGTAGTTCTGCAAAAAATTAATTTTATCTTTGAGCTTTTTAGGATCAACAGGAAATGTTGGTGTCTCAATTGATTCAGCTATAAACAATAAATCTGTTCTTCAGTGCTGGACTTAAGAATGAATAAATATGCACTTAATCCAAACAAGGAAGATTTGCTGTTATGGAACTCAGCAAGTCAGCTAGATGAGGAAATTCCCAGTCTATGTATTGTGTCATACCTTCTTTGAAGGACTAGGCTTCTGGCCCAAAATAATTCTGAGCTCAGTTTTGCTTCTGGGGTCTCACAATGCTTGTGACTATGATTCAGAGTACTTTTCTAACTTTGGCTGTAGGATCAAGACCTGGCTATTGTCATCCATCTATTGGTAACCTGCCAATTATATATTAATGTATTTTTCCAGGTGGCCTGGCAATTGCAGTTGTTGGATACTGATATGCATGATATAGTGTGTGTGGGGAGGGGGAAGTGAATGCATACTTCAAGATATGAATAATGATTTTTCAAATCCAATTATCCCAAATTCATTTCTGAGCCTAGCTTTAGTGCTGAAATTTGTTAATGAAGCCCTAAGTCATACCCTGATTGTTTTATATGTAACCTAATAAAACCAAGAAGCAGATGTTTTTCAATTGGAGTCCCAAACTATTAGAATGCATTACCCAGTAGTAGTCCATATATCTTTCTCCCTCTTTCTTAATGGCTTACGAATTTATTTTTTTAGCTAGGGTCTAATTATTTCTATGTGCTTCATAAATTGGATTTATTGTGTCTTGATGAGAGTTCAGAGGCACCATTCTTAGCTGTTGGCTGCCTTTCCAGTTGTGATGTTGCCATAGTGCTCATGGAAGATGCATAACGGGAAATGGGAACAATTAAAATCTCCTCCTCTCTCCAACTTCTTTATTTCTTAAAAAAAAAAATCCATAGAGCATATGTTTTGTATCCAAAAGTTCCAGGTGCAGGTTTTGTCAAGATAGAATTAAGAAAAATGCTTCTTACGAGTCATATTTCTCAGGATTATTTCTCAGTTGAAATTTCATCTTGTGATCTGAAGGCTGAATTTCTGTGATAGGATGACATTTGGCTCTGCTGAACAAATTAAGGATTCCGAAAGAGAATTATTTGAGAAAAATATGTTTTGATGAACAAAAAGGGGATTTAATTACCCTTCAAAGGAAAAGATCTCAAGGACATGTGAGCTGATACAGCGGTAGAAAACAAACTGAAAGGGTTTCATAAGCCATGCTTAATCATGCAATGTGTGTGAAGGCGGAAGAAGGTTCCCACCAAATCATCAGTAAGGTCTAGATCACGGGTGTCAAAATTGTGACGTCACATGATGTGTCATGACATATCACAACGTTTTTCCCATTGCTGGCAATGGGGAGCGCTGTTTTGGCATGACACATACGGCCTGTGGGCCGGCAGTTTGACACCCCTGATGCAAGAATCGTCTAAAATTTATAAGATTGTAAATGGGCCCTGCTCCAATCTATAATCTGTATATGCAAATCCACGGAGCCACATATTACTGATGTCCAAGAAAAATAGCAGGAAGCAGCTAAATGAATCGCAAAAAAGAGAAAGGTGTATTCTTCCTACTTTCATGAATAAAAGTGTAGTGAGGCCAGATCTAAAGAACATGGAAGATATTCTCCAGCACTGGAGATGGATAATCCACTAATGGGTTAACTTAATCCTCCTGCCCAATCAGATCAAGTCAGCCAAACTTGCTACGTCTGTCTTAGGCCTGATTCCCCAGTTTTCGACTTGATCTTGCCCAGAACAGACATGCAGATTTGGCTCACAGGCAGGTAGTTACCGCTTAGTGGATTATCCATTAGGATTTTAAATTTACTAAACTTTCTCTAACTTTTAGTCCCCTGAGCAGCGCTGGGACCAGCGCTCCTCTAGAAGACAAATTCCTACTGATTCCCATTGGGGGTTCAGTTTTTTAAACGGAGGACTCCGTTTTTCCTTCTAAATCCCCCCCCATACCCTCTTCGCTGGGAAAGAGGATTTTCGTCCATCCTTCCTCCCTTCCAGCACAGCGCCCTTCCAAAATCCCCCCCCCATTCCACCAACTCTCCTCTGGCGTCAGAGCCTGTGGCTGCAGCTCCGACGGCCTTAAAGAACCCGGATCGGCTCGTGGAGGCCACAGGGGCCTCGGATTGTCTCGTCACGTTTTTCAGCCGTTCCAGTGACTGCGGACTCGATTGAACACCAACGATCAGCTGGGGAGGGTGTTTTTGGCCCCGTCCCCCCCGAGAAGGGTGTAACAGGCTGGGTGAGTCCTACCCGTTGCGGAGCCATAGGGGGTGATCGATCTGAGTTACAGACGCCATTTTGCGACTGCGTGGTCCCTAAACCTTGTGGACTGCAAGGGACGGGGGGGGGGTGGAAAGAGACATTTCCACCTAATTTGGCAGCGATTAGTTCGGTAGCAGCGTTTTCCTTCTTCTCAGTCCCTGGGGTTTTCATCGGCCTTATTGAAGGCCTAGATCTACACAGGGGCCCCGCTGCCCGCGACCTCCATCTTGGAGGCTTCAGCCTACTACCAAGGCCGCCATTCTCACAACAGTCTTGTGCCCCATTTAAGGCCTCACTGAGGCTTCCTTGGGCAAAGGGCCTTCCTGAGTTGTAGCAGCCAAGGTTGTCTGGAGGGAGGAATAAGTTCTCTTAGGTCATCCTTGGAGTTTCCCCTTGTGACATTTGGAATTGTCCTCTTATCCTTGGCATAGGCCCAAGAGTTTTTTATTGGGCTTTCTGGTGTCTCAAGTCCTGGTCCACCTTGGGTTTGCTAATCACTACAGTAGTGCCTAGCCTCTGACACTGTACTGTTGCCACCTTTTATATTGCTGGCCTGGCAACATAGCAAGCCTCACTAGCATGTCGCAGTCCACTTCAGGTGGAAGTAATAGCGACTGCAAGTAGAACTGGTTTTTTGGATACCACTGGTTCGGTGGCCGGGGGGGGGGGGTAGAACAGCCTAATTCAGTTGCCCTACACCCTTATCAGCCAATTGATCCTTTCTCAGGTGCACCCTCTCGCACACCTGAAGATTTCATACCAGCATGGAGGATAACATGGCCTCCCAACCCAGGGTTGCCTCTGCTCCTTCCTCAGGCCAGAAAAAGGCACAGATCCCCTTCCCAAAGGCTGCTGGTAGGATCATGGCCAAGGTCAAACCCAAGGCTGCCTCTGGGGGGAAACCTCCAAATTGTACCAGGTTGCAGAAAGCAGAGATAATCAATACACAGAGATAACCAATATGTTTGGAAATATTTGGAGGACTTTCAGAGTTTTGCTAGATGTATTAAGAGGAATACAGTTTATCAGGTCAACATGTTCTGCATTTCAATAAAAAATTCAGAGGCAAAAGGTAACATCTTATGTGGTGTAAGGGCCCATTTAAGAAAAAAAGAGGGAGAAACAGATAGAAAACAGGAGAACGAATATTGTTCCAATTTCTATTGTAATAAACATGCAGTAAAAATTATATTGTAGCTTTGATTTTGAACCACAGTTTTTGAATAAAACAAATCAAAACTGGAAGTGTAAATAATCAGTTGATATTTTGTTCTGTGAAAGATAGGAAAAGTAAATTGTTGGAGTTGTAGCCCCCTCCTCGCCCCCTCCTTGCCCTTTCTTTGCCCTTTCTAGAGGAAACGTCTGCGGCAAAGCTCGCTAGCTCGTAACACAAATGGCAAACCGCATGACAGTTAAACAGGATGTTATGTAGAACTAAGCTCGAGAAGGCACTAACCACAGGGTTTTGTTTTGTGTCGCCAGGTGGGCAATATAGGTCAAACATGACATGTACTCTTGACATGCTCTGAGACTAAGTAATGGGAGTGGTTTTAAGCTTATGGCGCAGCAAGAAATTATATGTATGGCACAAATGTATCACATGTAATCAATGCTTATTTGCATACTGTAATCAATAAAGTAGTTCCCGGACTTCGGTTCGGGGCAGTCCCACCCCAAGAAAGCCTCTGTGTCAGGAGTCTTCTTTAGTGTCAGCTTGTGGGATCTGCCCCACGTATGGGGGGATAGCAAAAGTGCAATCCCCTCAGGTGGTGACCCCGACGTGATTCGACCCGCAAGTCGAGTGTATGTCCTGTTGCAACTCTCAGGGCCGGTCGTCGCAGAACGAAGTACCCTCCTAGACGTATATGTCCTGTTGCAACTCTCAGGGCCGGTCGTCGCAGAACGAAGTACCCTCCTAGACATCTCTCGCAAGTCGAGTGTATGTCCTGTTGCAACTTTCAGGGCCGGTCGTCGCAGAACGAAGCACCCTCCTAGACGTATATGTCCTGTTGCAACTCTCAGGGCCGGTCGTCGCAGAACGAAGTACCCTCCTAGACATCTCTCGCAAGTCGAGTGTATGTCCTGTTGCAACTTTCAGGGCCGGTCGTCGCAGAACGAAGCACCCTCCTAGACGTGTATGTCCTGTTGCAACTCTCAGGGCCGGTCGTCGCAGAACGAAGTACCCTCCTAGACATCTCTTGGTACCCTCATACGTCACTCGGCAGGACGCCTACTGCAATTCAGGGCCGGTCGTCGTGGAACGAAGTACCCTCCTAATTTGTGAGTATGGGGGCAGAATTCTCTAAGCCTCAGGTTGCGCACCTCCACGAACTTAGGGAATTGACCAAGACCCGACTTAATAATGGAAAAATCTGGCCGTTCCCACCAAGTCAGACCTGATCAGTCTGCTAAAATATATTTATCAACAATGCCCAACCTACCCTGAAGAGGGGTCACTCAAACAATCTGTGTGGGTTAAATTAGGAAAGTATTTTCATGAATGATCAGGATGTATAAAACTGTGACTGTTAATTGTTTCAAATCTAAAGGAAAAAGAATTTTAAAGTTTGCTAGAAATTCTGCTTAAAATAAGCCACAAAAAGGAAATACCTCATTCTGTTTGTCTAGCCAACAAACAGAGTGAAGAAAAAGAATTGTGTTTGTTTGTTTGTTTGTTTTTCTTTCTCTCTGTGTACGCTCAAGAACAGCCTTAAGTTACCAGGAGGGATTGTTTTAAGTTTATCTGTTGGAAAAGTTTCACTTGCATTTACTGTATGTATTTCATCTATCCTTTTTTTGAAAAATGTGTGTCTATTTACAAGAGCCTTTTGAAGCTCAAGTCTGCTTGTGTGGGGAAATAATTTTCCTAAGTTACTTTTCATATCCTAAAACTTACTGGTGAAACTACTATGAAACTTTTCTGAAACAAATAAGCATTTTCTAATCTCTGTTCTCCATACCTTTTGTCTGCCTCTCCTGGTAGAGTCCACCCAGAAAGGGGGGGGGAGACCCTGTTCTTGTATCTTTCAGCCCTGAAACCCTCTCCCAAGCCTTTGGAAGCAGAACACACAGACCCAGATGCTGCCTCCATCCATTTGAGCCATGGAATTGAGTTTTGAATCCAGCCATCCACTAAAAAGCCACCATGCAATCTGAGTGGAACATTTTCCCAAGTCCTACCATTTCCCCAGATGCCTGTGAGAGCTGCAGGAAGGTGGTGCCATGTAAAGCCTCAAAAGAGAAAATTAAGACTGTGGGGGGAGGGTGGAAACTCATTGTAAACTTTTTTTTTCTTGCCCCATTTGTATTGTAACAAGCCAGTTGAATGTATTAATAGAGAGATGGCACTTGGGAATATGTGGCAGAACAAGTACTGAACACCTTGAACTTCTATCTGGTGGGAGGGAAAATTGATCCAGAATGTTTGTATTGACTATTTTGTAAAAGTAGCTGCACATATATGCACACACACACACCATTCAGAATTACACTTGAGTTTATCTCCTCCACCTACCTTTAGTAAAGTTCCTCAGGCTGATTTTTGCTCTATTGCACCAAAGCTTTGTGGGACCAACTTTCAACAGATAACCAGGGGGAGGGAACTAGGCCCCCTCAGGTGATTTGCAATTCATATGCCCTGACTAAGGAGGCAACAGGAAAAATCCCAAACTTCAGCCCTGAATATCTTACACTGGTGAGCTCAGATTGGGATTCCTAGAACTCATTATGTGCAATTTAAAGAAAATTTAATAGACTGGCATATTGGACATTACAAACCTGGATGCACTGAATTAAGAGCTAAGGCAGGAAACAACCCTTGAAATTGGGCAGCCAGTGGTCATGTATTAAGGAAAACCATGGCTGTGGAGAATTTTGGGAGGTATGCAAACCTGACTGGAAGCTAAAGGTGACATCCAACATTTGAAAATGATTGGCACAGAATATTGGATACTATAAATTTCTTTTCCACCTAACAAAATTTTGCCCTAACTTTTAGAAATTTATAGATGCCACTAAAGGGATCTTTTTCTGCTGCCTCCATTAATGTTTTAATTTTCTTTCCTTTTTTTTTTGCTTAATAGTTTAAAAGCTTGTCTACCAAGTCTCTCTGACCAGATCAATTTTAATGTCATACATTTACACACTTAAGGCACAAAGTGGGGATATTGATGGAAGTTAGCCCCCCCTGAAGGAAATATTAAAAAGGAGCAGAAAAATATATTTTCCTCAAAAGGACCATACACCTGGTTAGGTACAAGAAACTGCCAACCATGGACATACCGGACCCTTTAGCCATAACCCTTAGCAGTGAAGAAGATGATTTTTCCTTTAATTAGAAAAAGACAGGGGAGATGTTGGAGTTGTAGCCCCCTCCTCGCCCCCTCCTTGCCCTTTCTTTGCCCTTTCTAGAGGAAACGTCTGCGGCAAAGCTCGCTAGCTCGTAACACAAATGGCAAACCGCATGACAGTTAAACAGGATGTTATGTAGAACTAAGCTCGAGAAGGCACTAACCACATGGTTTTGTTTTGTGTCGCCAGGTGGGCAATGTAGGTCAAACATGACATGTACTCTTGACATGCTCTGAGACTAAGTAATGGGAGTGGTTTTAAGCTTATGGCGCAGCAAGAAATTATATGTATGGCACAAATGTATCACATGTAATCAATGCTTATTTGCATACTGTAATCAATAAAGTAGTTCCCGGACTTCGGTTCGGGGCAGTCCCACCCCAAGAAAGCCTCTGTGTCAGGAGTCTTCTTTAGTGTCAGCTTGTGGGATCTGCCCCACGTATGGGGGGATAGCAAAAGTGCAATCCCCTCAGTAAATTTCAAGTGAGGATGTATTTTTAGTTTAGAAAAATAAAAAACAAGCTACATCTCCCTGAAGAAACTATTATCTAAGAAGATTTTGCTTTATAAAATAATTTGGTAACAAAAGTACAGGGTTTAGGAAATAATTTCTTGTATGTCTAAAGAGATTGTAGGTCATTTATTCAGAAAGCTGACTTTTAATTTAATTTAATTTTGTTAGTTATTTTCTTGGTTTTTCCCTTGAATTTTCTTATGTAAAGCAAAGTTATAAATATAAACAGTTGATTTTTTTATCCTTATGGACTTTTTAGATTTGCCTCCTTTCCAGGATTGACCTTTATTTTTTCTAAGAAAATATAGTCATTGTACGTATGTAATGTTTGCATATATACTGTAAGCTGAGAGAGTGATTATTTGTTTATGAGATAAGCTTTTTCTGTAACTTTCCATCACAAGGGAAAGCAGAAGGAAAAAACCTAAAGAAATAACATCTGTGGAGTAGTTCATGTAGCCTATTAGTCATATATGCAGGACTGCCTTAACTAGACAAAGTTGGCAAACAAATCCACTTGAGAGAATAAGATTTAACTTGGCAGAATGTTAGAGCCACAGCTTTTAAAAAAGAGTACTTATCTTTACCACCTTTCTAAAGCTGATGACAAAGAACCAGTAAAACTAAAAAGATTCTGTTTATTTTGCAACAAATAGAACAGACTATTTTTTGTGAAAGTAATGGGTAGGCTCTTAAGAGTATTTAAATAATGAAGCCTCTACAATGAATTGTAGGGTGACCAAAAAAGAAAGAAAAAGTTCTTTGTGGTTTATTGTTAACTACTTTTAACATTCCCACTATCCCTGCAGCTGGACTCCATATAAAAAAATGAGTGCAATGTTAACTCCTTCAAAACTGGCAAACTGATTTTCTGTTTCTTTTCTTGGCATCAGAAAATAGTAGTTTTGCAAGTTCCTTCCTTTGTCTGGAAAGCAATCAAAGTAAGAGAGTCAGTGTTTTTCAGAAGTGGATGAAAATCAAGGGAGCTTAATTAAACACATAAATGTAGAAAATGTAAAACAAAGTAGGCTATATGATTAGTTCTGCACTTAATAAAAGGAATTGCTCCCTAATTCACTTTTATTTTTCTTTATATTCATAAATAAAGTTAACATTAAAAACTTAATAGTAGTGGTTGGTTATTAAGAAAAAACACTGGGCCTGATGTAGCAAAAGCTAGGTCCTAGAGATAAAAATGTCTCAGGATATTAGTATACTATATTTAAATCTTGATATTTTAAAAAACGTACCAACATTGCAAATGCAATTTTATTAAAGCTTTCTGGGAGCTATACAGTGCAATTTAAATCAGCCAGATTTTTGTGGTTAAACTTCAACCACAAAACTATTTCTGTACCCTAAATCAGCTGGCCTGGAATTCTAGGGTTATGTCTTCTCCAGGACATCAGTTTAGGGAAGAATGCCCTAGCCAGGATAAGGTTTATAGCCAGGAAAGTATTGCTTTGTTAATATTGAGTCTAATGCAGTTTTGTTCCTGTGTAGTTCAAAAGATACAGCTAGCTTGGTTAATGTTTTCTGAGTTCATAATGTATTTGGGCAGAATGCCATGTAAATTTGCCAGTATTTCAATGATACTATCTTGAGAAAGAACTTTAGGAGACCTATGACAATTTTACTTGCAGATGATAATACTGTTTATCACTCATTTAGGTCATCCTTGTGATGACTGGGAAACGTAGAGGTAGTCCTCAACTTTTGACCACAATTGAGTCCAAACTTTCTGTTGCTAAGTGAAACAATTGTTAAGTGAGTTTTGCCCCATTTTACAACCTTTCTTGTCACTTTTGTAAAGTGAATCACTGTAGTTGTTAAGTTAGGTTGTTAAGCGAATGTGGCTCCCCCATTGACTTTGTCAGAAGGTTGCAAAAGGGGATCATATGACCCCAGAACACTGCAACCGTCATAAATTTGAAGCAGTTGCCCAGCGTCTGAATTTTGATCATGTGACCATGGGGAATGCTACAACAGTCCTAAGTGAAAAATGGTTGTAAGTCACTTTTTAAAGTAACTTTGAATGGTCGTTAAATGAATGGTTATAAGCTGAGGACTACCTGTATGTTCTCTTGCTGAAGATATAAAATATGCTTATGACTGAGGGATTGTCAAACTGTAAACACTCAGCTCTTTCTAGTCACCCAAACTCGGTCCCGAATTAAGGGATTACAGGGTTGTAAAAAGGGAGTTATGGATGTTGTACTATGAAATAGAAAACTGGATTGACTGACTGCTACATTTTTAACTAATACAGCTTTTCTTACATTATGTTAACATTTCTTCCCCAGAAACATTCTACATTTCTGAATGGCAGCCCTCTTTTTCTCAGAAGAAAGGTCTCTGATATACTGATCAAGTGAGTAAAATGGAGGTTTTTCTTGTGCTAAATAAGTTTAAACTTAATTTTATTCTTTATGACCTTTGATAAGCAGCCCCTCAGAATTTGGGAACAACCATGGAAATTAAAGATAGGTTTTCATTAGAATTCACTTATAGTGAATATGTTGGTTCTTTATTGAAATCTGCAATAATAACAAAACAATATCTTGCTGGATCAGAAATGGGTCTTGGTCTAGTTTTGTTTCCTCATTTCTTTGGGTTGTTTTCAAGCAGGAGATGGCATACTCCTCTTACTATTATTTGCCTTCAGCTATAATTTGAAAGTAAGCTGCCCCAACCTGGAAGGAAACATTGAGTCTTCCAAACAACAGCTCTTGACAAGCCTGTTTTCTATGCGTTTATCCAGTTACTATTTAAAGTTATCCCAGTTAGTTGTCATTGTCACATCTCCTAGTACTAGTAGTCCTTGATTTACAACAATTAATTTAGTGACTGTTCAAAGTTATAACGGCACTGAAAAAAGTGACTTATGACTGTTTTTCATACTTAATGACAGTTGAAGCATCCCCATGGTCACATGACCAAAATTTGGGCATTTTGCAACTAGCATGTATTTATGATGGTTGCAGTGTCCTGGGGTCATGTAATCACCTTTTGTGACTTTCTGACAAGCAAAGTCAATGGGGTTGTCAGATTGACTTAACAACTGTGTTACTGTACACAGACATAAACAAAAATAATAGAGATAATAAAAACACACCCATCAAGGAGTCCCATCCATCTCACTCCAACACTGGGAGAATGATCAGGCCTTCAAGCATTTACAAAACATTAAAACATCACAGGGATTTCAGGTGAGATTTGAACCTAAACAGAGAGGACATACTTTCTAGATCCTAATAATTGTCCCTGTATAATCAAAGGGACCTGGAGCAAGCGAACTTTTTCTCCATCAACTGGCAGAAAACTATGGGATATAGGGGGTTCTCATATAACCAGGCCCTATATCATGTAGGTTTTTCCAGCAATAAGTAGCAGCTGAAATTGTACCTAGAAGCATATTGTCAACTAGTGCAGCAAAGTTTATCTAAAATTTGAAATACTATCATACAAGTTTCTACCTGTGTCAGCCTTTAGCATTTTATGTGTTTATCAGAATACCTAGGAGATCTATATTATTCTGAGGACAGGACAAGAAGCAATGGATGGAAACTAATCAAGGAGAGAAGCAACCTAGAACTAAGAAGAAATTTCCTGACAGAACAATTAATCAGTGGAACAACTTGCCTCCAGAAGTTGTGAATGTTCCAACACTGGAAGTTTTTAAGAAAAGATTGGACAACCATTTGTCTGAAATGGTACAGGATAGGATTTCCTGCCTGAGTAGGGGTTGGACTAGAAGACCTCCAAGGTCCCTTCCAACTCTGTTATTCTATTCTGTTCTGTTCTATTTTTTGTTAAATTTATTTGCTGCTATCTGACTGTGGCTTCTCTAAGTGGCTTACAATAATAAAAAAGAAGAAAAATGAAGGGCATATAAAAAGAATAGAAGTAAAATAAAAAACAATAAAATAAAAGAATGACAAATGAATTCAATGAGAATAAATGTATCAATGTGATAACCAAAAAGATGAGCAAGGGGGAGGCAGATGTGGAGTCTGTCATCAATCCAGTAACCACCTCCAGTGTGCAACTCCTATTTGGTTCCCAAGCCAATTGGCAAAGCCAGGTCTTCAGGCTCTTGCAGAAGGATAAAAGGATAGGGGCAGATCTTACTCTAGAGAAGGGGTCCTCAACCTGGGCAACTTTAAGACTTGTGGACTTCAACTCCCAGAAGTCCTCAGCCAGCTTTGCCCAGGTTGAGGGCCCCTGCTCTAGAGGGTAGGATGTTCTAAAAGGCAGCAGAGTAGACTTCTTTGACAAATGGCTTCCGCAGTAGGCCCTCTCTACCAGCAAAGTAGGATTTTGTGAGAATGCTCATCTTACACTGTTGATCAGAAAAAAACTCTACTGCAGATTATAGTCTATATCCAATATCTAATCACACCATGCAAATGTTAGTATGAAGTAGGAATTCTTGAAGACATCTGCATTCTTCATACCTAGGTATTTTCATCTTTGTAAACCTGCTGCAAATAGAGGAGCTGTTGCTCTGGCTGGGTCTCTCCAAATTCTACTACCTAGACTTTATTTTATTTTATTTTATTTAGATTTTTATCCTGCCCATACACAACTCAAGATGACAAACATACAATATCCCTTCCTCCTTCTGTTTTCCACACAGTAGCCACCCTGTGAGATGGGTAGGGCTGAGGAGAGAGGGTGACTGGCCCAAAATCAACAACCAGCTTTCGTGCCTCAGGTACTCTCCTGGTCTCTAGTCCAACATCTTAACCATTGCACCATCTGCATTTCCATTGACTGGATCATAGGCCTATGGATGATTAGCTCAAGGCCAGCCTTTCATCCAGCTTCATTTAGATATTGTTCTTGTGATCAAGAATTGGATTTCAAAGAGAGTCATTGCTTCAGATACAGTCTGTCTGTTTTACTAAATGCCCAGCTGTAGACATGCAACATCCTCCTCCCTCACCCCACTTTCCACATAGCTTTCTGCAATAACAGGTATAATTGTAGCAGGTTCCTGAGAAGCAATCTGATTAACAGATTTTAAAAAGGGAATGTTTTCAGCAGGTTCTTGGTGTGAAGTGGTAATTTGAGAGATCTTGTGCCTGGATTTACTGAGGTCTGATTGATGGGCTGTCTGCCTTTGACTCTCCCTCTGCTTTGGGGATTACATCATTTCCACAGCCCCCCCTTTCCCTACTCTATTGAGGCCAGGTGGAAATATTTATATGGAGAGCAGCCAAGTACCATTTATACAGCTGGAAGGCTGCTTTTCCCATAACCAAGACAGAATACAACTCTCCTTTTTCACAAGACACACTATCTGCATATCTATTCAGGTCGTTATCATATGGAGGCATAGAGCCTTGGCAATTAAAGAGAGAAGGGGATTTACTGTGTTTTGTCTATAATCTTTTTTGATAAATCTTCATTGTTCCATTGCATAAATTATCCTAGATTATTCCTATTCTATTTGAACAGTAATAATTGGGATCTCTGGCAAACGGTGATTGATTTGATTTCATCTCCTTTGCTTACCAAAGGTATGTTCAGCAGCATAGCAGGTCCTGTTATCTTCTGATTAACATATTTTTAGGTACATTACCTCCTGTCCCAGCAGGTGATAACATGAAACCAACCTTGTCTGGGCTCAGAAGAGAGCAAGTCCAGTTAATACTTCCTGGTAATCCAGGACTGTATTCTAGTGAGAATTTTTTTTAAAAAAGTTCCACAAGAAATCAGCAGCAAATATCTTTTATATTGCTACCAAAAAACCTAAGTGGATGAATCTGTGAATTGAGTTGGATTTGTAGGAATATTTACTTTCTTAAATTGTTATATCTCAAATAATTAATATGCCTATTAGCTAAATAGATCCTGCCAAAAAGCATTTTTCACCCCTAACAAAACTGTTTTTGAAATAGGAACTGTATTGTACTTTAAAAAAAAAGACTCTTCTCATTTATTCAAGGCTATATTTTTAGCTATCTAGAAAGCTTTCTAAGTAAGCAGAAAATATTATTTTATTTTGGGAGTGGTTACATTTGGCTTCCATATTCAGTGCTAACTAAAGTTATTGAAGGGAATCTTCAGTAACTAAATATTGAGTATTAAGGAGTGGCTGTACAATAGCCCTCATTCTATATCTACCACGACTAACCAACCTTATTTCTATAAAGTGTGATTGACTATGTGAGAATGGAATATTGGATTAAAGAGAAAAAGATAAATATTGGCAGGGAGGGTCTCCCAAAGCTTTACTCTTTTCATTACATGCTAACATATAAATATTGGAAATTATTCACACTGTCCGGAGTGTCTGTGAATATATTCTGCGCTACTTAAAAGAAAACAGGAACACAAGACATTCTTTATTTCTCAGTTCTAGTGCTGACAACATTGTCTGCTGTCGACTCATGTGTTTTGTCTACTGTCTCCAATGTGAGACTTATTTGAACTTCAGGCATTATGGCTAAAATAGCTGGCCTTAAGTTTGAACTTCCTCTTTTCCCATCTGTCACTTTTTTCTTAACAACTTCCCTAGTTGGGTGGTCTTAAAACTTGAAACTCTTTTTCAGTTATTTTGTTAAGGGAGGCAGTATGATGCTGGCCATTTTATTTTAAAATCCATCCCTTATTATTCTCAAAGCAGAACAGCTGCTAAATCCTGGCACAATTGTAAATCAACAGATGGCCTTTGGGAGATAGAGGAAGGTATCAACATGCTCAGTAGATCCCCAAAACATGGGGAGGTACAAAAACAATTTGATGGTTCAGGACAATTCTTATTCTTAACATGATGTCTGCCTTTCTACCTAAGGTAATGATGATTAATGATTGCAAGAGTAAAATATAATCTTTAAGATAGGCTGTGATTTTTCATAAGGGAAGAAAGAAGGATTCACAGTGTTTCCTTCTGAGATTCATTTGTAAAGTGATAGGATCTATTCCTATCTCCTGACCAATTGATTAAGACACAAAGCTGGCAATGCAGTGAAGAAGGTGACAGTCTATTTACTCAGGAAGAGATTAGATTAGAAACAAGTAACTGCCATGTTTTCTCCGGAGAAGAGACAAGCCTAAATATGCTTTTTATTCTGGCCATGAAATTCAGTTTTAGAGACCCATCAAAGAACAACCTAGTGTGAAGGAGCTGAAAGAAATCACCATTTTCTTCTTTGCTAAACAATTAGACAATATCTTAAATTTAGTATATTGCATTTTATGTTAGCCATATTAGTACGTATATTTTCAGAATGTATGCAAATTACATAAACTTACAAATTCTTTCTAGTTTTTTATTTTTTATTTTTGTGGCCAAATACATTTCTGGATTACATTTCTGAATTTATGAACCCCTCTTTTAAATTTGATACACCCAGTGTTATG